TTAAGTGCGAATGCGCAATTCACCCGAGTCGCTGTATTTCCCGCAACAGCTGAAGACCGTGCTGCTGCTGCTGTCTTCTGCTGCTGCTGCTGCTGCTGCTGCTGCTATGCCCGCTACTGCTGTGCCTGCTCGTGCCCGGACAGCCTGTTTCTACTTAGCGCACGAGCTGTTCTGCTCCACTCTCTCTCTCTCTCTCCGCTCCCGGATCTCTGTTCGCCCTCCCTGTGCGCTCCCACGTTTTTATTGCCCGAGGCACGAGTGAAGGGGCTCATCCTCCCGATAAATAATTTAAGCAACGCAGCGCGTGATGAACTGACGCACACACCCACCCACATGCAGACACACGCGCAAGTGACGCACACGCCGCACTGACACGCGAGGAACCTGCGCACGTCAAGAGAGACGTCAGCACTGGCTCCACCACTCTCCCCGCTACACTGCTCCGTACGGGAGACTTTGTAGGGCGCAGGTGCGGAACCATTGAGTGTGCAGGCGGTGCAATTGAACAGAGGGCCCGTGGACGGGGGGAGACTAGGTGCCGAAGAGCGGTGAAATTTGACACCCCCCCCCCCCCCCACCATTTAATAAAACTTAACTATTTTTTATTTAAGTCAAGTGAGCTAGATAGCTATTTTTCAGAAGCGACCTGTCCACAAATTATATCCAAATGAAGTGGCTTATCATGTGGGCATTTATAGCATCCACATATTCTAAACGCACGTTTCTAAATGTGGACGAAAAAAGAAACGGAGAACCCTGAGAAAAATCCACGCGACCACGGGTGAGAGAGACACGCAAACCCCAAATAGGCTCGGGATCGAACCCACGAACTCCTGTATACCGGGCGAGGTCGTCAGGCACGTGCTGGGATCGATGAGTCTCTCACGATGATCTCGCGCGGAAGCCGCACGGAACTTGTGTTCGATTGCCGCTCACGGGCACGGCTCATGCTGCACGCGCGGCTCAGACGAGGGTCTGCAGTCTGCGGTGTTCTTTGGACTCAATGCCTTCGTGACATCAAGAAATCCGTCTTCAAGGCAAATCTTAAGAAGTCCTGGGTTTTTGTTTTTCTGACACTGGAATTTCCAGGCTGAATCATATGCAATGGCAGAATGATTTTGTTTGCGAGCACAATTATGAGAGCACTGCGCGATTAACCCGACCATATAAATTAGATTTCCGGCCACGGTAAACATCGATGGCGAGTGATATCCGAACCGGTGATGGTTCCCCTTTACCAACCCGCATTGAGAAGCTAATAGTCAAACCACCCTCATGACCTACACGGCATGGAGGAGGCCTGCATGCAGAAGCGAATTGACAATACGGCAGATATTCGTTTCGAAATTCACATAAGTAGCTGTTTTTTGGTAATGTTTCAACGCACATTATTTATATCGTAATTTGCCGTCATTCACAAACGCACCGAGATTCGGTTAAACATTTTGGGCACAATTAAAAGAACGTGTTGTTATTATTATTAGGGCACCAGATGCGTCGCGAACGTCACCACGGGTACTTGAACACGAAAATCCACTCCAAGAGCACAACCTACGGGCCGTCCATAAATGACGTCACGCACCTGGGGGGGGGTCAGATATTTGTGACGATGTGTGACGAGGGGGGGGGGGGTTGAGAAATGTGACGTCACATCAAAAAGCGCAACTTTAAATAAATATAGACAACACGTTCTACTTAATTAAATATAAATTTTTAATAAATATTTTCTCCTACAACATCAGAGTACGCACGACAATGACAATAGATTAAAGCGATTTTAAGCATGTTTTATTTTCAAAATGGAAATATGGGTTTGGGGGGGTGGGCAGAGCTTTGCGACGTCATATTTGAGTGGGGGTCTGACTTTTTATGACGCTGTGTGACGAGGGGAGGGGGGTCAAAAATCGTCCAAAATCGCGTGACGTAATTTATGGACGGCCCCCTAATGAATTTCCTCTCGAGAAAGTTTCACTTCGTAGCAGTCGTGGCAACACGGGGGGGGGGGGGGGGGTGGGGACTCGCAGCCTTTTTTTCGTAACGCAGTTCGGGTTTCTGTCAACAAAGGGAGCCTTGGTGGTACCGCGTGCCTGGCATGAGCACGAATACTAACGGTACGGTACGGATTAGGGAAATGAAATGGAGGCAATCCCGGTGCATCTTCTTGGTTCTTTCGGTAAAGTCACGTAGAAGGGAAATAATAAAATAATAAAAATAAAACATAATAAAATAATTCTCACGACGTTTCGGGTACAACGCAAGCAGCCGTCCTCAGGTGAAGAATGAGGACGGCTGCTTGCGTTGTAGCCGAAACGTCGTGAGAATAATTTAATTGTTTAATTTTTATTATTTTATTACTTCCCTTCTACGTGACTTTACCGAAAGAACCAAGAAGATGAATCCCTGCAGTCACGAAAGCGTTAAATCGAAAAATCCCGGTGCAGTTACACCGCCTGCACACTCGGCAGCTACGTCACGGGGGCGACTGCCCAGTGCGTTGATGACGGTGACCAGGTCAGACTCGGGGGAAACCGGTGCCACGTCCTGGGGGTTGAGGCTTTTAGTCCCAAAGCCGTCCAATTACAATACGTTGCATCCCAGAACTATGGGTGGCCAAATCACCTGAAGCTCGTACAACCCATATGAGACTAGGCTCGAAGGAAAGCTGTCTCGGGTGTGGACCAATCAACTTCAAGGACAGTGCACATTATCAGAGTTATGTTCTTTTGTTTTTATGACTGCAGGTATTGCGGTCTATGCAAACATGACTCCTTGCAAAAAGGTGTCAGTTTTGTTGCCAGATAGAAGGGTAAAGAACCAATTATCATATTTTTACTGGCAAATGAGGTCCCCATAGTGTAGATGCTCGTCATCTGAGTTGAGCCCGGATAGTGGCTGGATGGGCGATCACCATGTATAATATGTGTTATCGGCAGCTGCGAGGCTACGTGGTGGGTAGCAGAGGGAATTGCAATATAAATTTCGATTTAAAGCTTTCGTGACTGCAGGGATTCATCTTCTTGGTTCTTTCGCCTGTTCTTCACCTGAGGACGGCTGCTTGCGTTGTGGCCGAAACGTCGGGAGAATTATTTTATTATGTTTTATTTTTATTATTTTATTATTTCCCTTCTACGTGACTTTACCGAAAGAACCAAGAAGAATTGCAATATAATTCATTGTTGTACTGTGCTTCTACGCTCCCACGTTTATATCCACTGCCTTCAATCCGCACTGACTGGAGTGGTGAAGTATGGTCAAAATAATTCCCCACGGCCCGCACGGCGTGTGGAGGCCCTCATCCAGCAGTGGATTGACGCAATGTCTCTACTAACACGCAGTTGTACATTGGCAGACTCAAGCGGCATCCAGTTAACTACCGCTCACTAATAATGATGACAGCCTAAGAATGTTGGAATTATCGACTATGATATAATCAAGAGTTAAGTGCTTCAATGCATTTCAATTAAAAGCCTCAAAACGTTTAAACGCGCACTTGCGTAATACTAAAGAGTATTTCCAAAAACCTATCGTATCCAAAACAAACGCAGGTCCGTAAATAAGTACGCTTATAGAACAGCTGAACGAATCAATTGGTTGACCAAGCGTGGTATTGTGCATCCCGTCGCGCCAACGACACGCGTTATAATCCATCATCACCATCATCATCATCGCAATACAACCCGTAAATCGAGTTTGTCCTGTGTGTGTGTGTGGAGTTGTTGCATGACTCCACTGTCGGCTGTCGCGAACTGAACCCGGGCGGATTTCTGCAGGGCGCGTCAGGGATGTTGCACATTGGAAGGGGCCATCAACCGGCACTTGGAGGCCATCAACCGCTGTCGTGTCCTGTTGTGATGGGGTCCGAGGCTTTGTGCACTTTAAGGCCACGTGAAGTGTCGAACGCCTCGCTGGCAGGAGGTCAAAGGACATACCTAGGTGCCCATGGGTCGACTGACTGAAAGTGCACCTAGCCTGGCACAAGCGCCGCGGTGACGTCGCCGCCACTTAGTGGCGAATGGCGAGTGTTGTTGTTGTTATTGGGGGTCCGCGAGGGGGTGGGTTGGGTTTGGGGGGGCGGAAATATTTAATGAATAACACTGTGTAACAAAAAAAATGTGTTCCTGGGTCGTAAGTGTTATTTATAATTGCTTATGCTTCAAAAGTATAGAAAATCGCTCTTATTCCCCACAAACGTTGCTTTTGTGACCAGGACAGTGATATGTTGAAATTTACCTATTTTCAATGAGTCTGTCATTCCTTCACGTAAAGTCCTAGTCACAAAAGCGAAGTTTGTAGGGAATAATAACCATTTTCTATACTTTATAGGCACAAGCAATAAAAAAAACCACTTCGTATCCAGGAACAAAAATTGTGTTACGTAATGTTATTCCCCCCCCCCCGTTCCCACCACGAGACCGAGCGCGTGACACTCGAAGCAGAACCGCAGGGCAACTGGTGCGCTCTTGTTAGGGGCCGTCCATAAATGACGTCACGCGATTTTGGACGATTTTTGACCCCCCCCCCCCATTGTCACACGGCGTCACAAAAAGTCAGACCCCCCCCCCCTCAAAAATGACGTCACAAAGCTCTGCCCCCCCCCAAAAAAAAAACACATGCTTCAAATCGCTTTAAACTATTATCATTGTAGTGCGTATTTAATGTGGCGCTGCACTCTGACGTTGTAGGAGAAAACATTTATTAAAAAGTATACTTAATTAAGTAGAACGTGTTGCCTATATGTATTTAAAGTTGCGCATTTTGATGTGACGTCACATTTCTCACCCCCCCCCACTCGTCACACATCGTCACAAATGTCTGACCCCCCCCCCCCCCTAGGTGCGTGACGTCATTTATGGACGTCCCCTTAGTGGAAGTTTCCCGACCCCACTAATATTAGTATCATAACACGCCGGCCCCGCAGCAGCGGGACACGTGCTCACAACACGGAAGTGAAACCAACTCGTCAACTTCCACTTCTCCCCCCCCCACCCCCTTTGGTCACGGGGCTTCTTCAGCTGACACTCAGCCCGGCACTCAACTCCGTGTGTGTGCGTGTGGGTCTGCCTCTGCCTCGTCTCCGTGTGCTGCGCGTGTACACGTTGATCGTCGCGGACGCCAAGACACAGCGGAGTTGACATCGCTCGCTCGCTCGCTCCCTCCGCTGCGCATCGCCTGTAGCTCCGTATCGCCCGTGGCTCCGTGGCTCTCCCAGTGAATAGACCGTCGGCAGCTCCTGCCCGGACGTGCTGCGACGTCTCGGCGCAAGGCGACGATTCCCTCCTCGTTGCTCCAACTTATTCTCAAGATCGTCCTCCAGTCACCATGACCGCTGCGCCCGCCGTGACCGCCGCGCTGCTGCTGCAGCTGCTATCCCACGCGTCGTCCACCAACGCAGCAGACCATCAGATCGACGACGACCACGACGACCATCACCACCCAGTGCGCTACTCCCGCATCAGCGCCTTCGCGAGAAGCCACCACCACCATCACCACCACCACCACGCAGTGGGCGCTGGAGCGAGCTCCCCAAAGCCGCGTGACTCCAAGTTCGAGCCCGGAGCGAGCGCGCAGCCCTTCGCGTTGAAGACCCTCAACGACTCGTTCGTGTTCCCCGACGGCCTGCCCGACAACTCGTGCGTGCTGGTGCACGCGTTCACCAACGGGTCGGGCTTCCTCGAGTGCCTGTGGGCGAGCGCGGAGTCGGCGAGGACCCTGGTAGAGGCGCTGCCCCGCAACGCCGAGCTGATCGTGCTGTCACTGGACGAGAGCGCAGCGGCTGACGTGGCTTGGCTCCGGGAGCGAGTCGACGCTGCCGTAGCGCACAGCGGGTGCGGGTGACCTCCACTGACCCCCCCCCCCACTGACCCGCCCCCCCCCCCCACTGACCCGCCCCCCACCAACTCCTTCATGCTTTGGGGCTGGGGGGGTGTGAGCAGACATTGCGTTTTGTTGTGTAGCCTGTGGCCCCTATGGCAGAGGTCACAAACGGGTTTTGATTCCTTACCCGTACCCGGCCGCACCAGGGTCGCAAACGGCTACCCGTAGCCGGGTATCGGGTACCCGGTTGCGACCTCTGCCCTATGGGGAGGGGAGGGTCGTCAAGCCTACCGCCGCACGAAAAGATCGTCACGTTTATAAAGACGAGTTTTATTTTTTTAGTCGTGACATGCAGCTCCTCGCCGGCGGATTAAGACTTGTCGGTTTTTTTATATGACGATCGTTTAACCACCGCGTGGCCTGCCCAGAAACAAATATGGGTCATTGTGTCGTCAACTAAACCCTACGTTTTGAGTCGATGTGTATATCCTGAATATATCTGTCGATATGTATCGGCCCCACGGGAGTGCATCATTTCAGCAGCATTGATTCCGTTAAAGGAAACTCTGGACCCGGTTTCAACACGCAGGCAGACTTGCTTGAATTCACGTGTGCCTCCAATTGCGCACAAACTCAAATACACGTGGTCGCGTGTTTATTATTAAGCGGTGGATCATAAAAGCCTCATGGGGGAACGCCTTGTTAATAATTTGGCCTGCAATTGGGACACATCACACCCGTAGTTAAACAACATTCTGGGGAACACGCAGGTTGCCCCATTCCCCAGTGGACATACTACGTACAATGCTCGGATGGTAGTGTAGCGAGGCTGGCAATAAGCCCTCGTCAAGGAATGAGATGGGGCCCCATATGCCCACTTCCTCCCCTTCTCTCTGCAGCCCGGCACCTGGGCCCGTCTGGCCTGTGGGACCTGGTGCAGTTGCTCCACCAGCACACCTACGCTAGGCACCGTGTTGACAGATTACCTCTCTACCTTGAGAGTTATCGCTGCTGCTCCAGCCTCGGCCACCCCTAACATTCTCAATGCCGTGGCTGCCTCTTGAACTTGGAGGTGCTCGTGTAAGGAATGGGAGGAATGCTTGAATTTATTCGGATGAAGCTTTGGCAAAATAACAACAAAAAGCCCCACAATGCTCTCCGAGGTCATTTTACGAGTTGCTATGGCCCCTTGAGAGTTGAGTGGGATTACTGTGATATACACTGCAGTGTCTGCTTCATTGCTGCCACCTGACAACTGCATGTTATGAAAGTCATGGAGAAAACAACTTGAAGCCATGCAACTAATGCACGGCACGATGTTTGCTGTTGTAATTGGCCGCTAGAGTCCTAGAAACTCGCCGGTGTAATTGGCAGATGCTTCTCCGTCGACTTTTTATGGATTGTAAATTGGCCAAGAGTCTTACCGAGAAACATTTGCAAGCCCTAAACACAAATTGGATGGAAGGGCCATATTTCCCCAGTTTTAATGAATGAATACATCCTGCAGATTTTGCACTTTTACAAACTAATTCCTTGAAGCATATTTGACAACTCTCCGAGGGATGCATGTTAAACAATGCCAAATCAGGGATTCCCGAGGCTATTATGAGATTGGAGAAGGAATATTAGCATAAAAAGGAACTATGGCTAAAAAGGGACATCGCAGATATTATGAAAGGGATACGATCATACTGCCGTGGCATGTATGATGGATGAAGAACGATTTCCCAACATTCTACTGCATGATAAGGGCTAGGGGATGTCCGAGGGGATGAAAAAAAATGGCTCAGCATCAAAAAAGATTGTCTGGAACTGGGAATCGCGTTTACAACAGTGGAGAGGCGATAGACAGAGACTCGGTGTGAAGTTGACCGTGAGTGGCCTGCCCGCGCCTGCCATTAAATCAAGTAAAGTTAGCATGAGATGATCACAAACGTAACACCTCCCCCTGTTGTCGGTGACATTGCTGGGCCCTGGCAGGAGGTGGGACCTGCAGAAACGCATCCACTACGTCCCCGTGCAGGTGTCCAGCCTGGGGAACTGGATTCCCTCTCTGCTCTACGAGTGGCAGTGCGACGACCACAACTGCGGCCTCGCGCAGGTCGCCTTCCACTGCACAGGTGCCCCCTGCGTCCGACCTCGGCGCCGTGCCCGCCACCGCGCCGAATCGGCGGCGCGGCTATCAAACGTGCGGGCGGTTCCAACCGCATCGGGCGCACGGAGCTGGAGAAACCCGAGCGCAGGTTTACGATGAGGGGAGAGAAATTGGACGGTGGGTGGGGGGCAGTTAATGTTTTGCACCAGGACGTTTGCCAACCAGGCTACGCCACTGCCTCTAGCCAGGGTGTCATCGTGACATATCAACAAGATGGCCACGCATGTGCGATGGTTTTTTGTAACGGTGTTAAAAATGGTCAAAATGATAATAATAATCCGGCTGAAAGGGAGAAGATTACATTTTCTTTCCCACTATTGGTGAGTAAAATATCACGCTTCTGCTGGCGTTCATGTGACCCCGAGTTCGAGTCAAGACCAAGCTGAGAGCACTTTTATTGGGGGTGGCCGGGTGGCTCACGGGTGCCATGCTGGCACCAACTGGGATTCTGAGTTTGAGATTGGGCAGCCACCTGTGATGGAAAGCACCTCCGATTGACATGTACGGTGTGAAAGAAGTTCAACATCCATGCACACGTACGTAAAAAACGGGTTGTCAAGCACAGTGAGGTGATGGTCTCAGTGCAGTCACTCATAAGTGTACACAAAAAAAAAACGTCAAATGGTTTTAAATATTAAACCTACTTGATTTGTTTTTAGAATTTCAACCTAATTAATCTCCATGTCATGTCACCATGTGTTATAACATGCAGTTGATAACAAAATTACGATGTACACGATAGCACTTTTGTCAGTCCACTGCTGGATGATGGCCTCCCCTTGCCGTGTGGCTCATCGGGGCAAATTCACCAAACTGTCACCAAGCTGGTAATTACGGGATGGTGAAAGCGGAGCGGTGCATGGACATTGGGGCATAGTAGAGTACAACATTGGATTAGGCTGCACTCCCCTCCGCAGCAGCCTACAGCAACTTGGAATGCATGGTGGTCTCCCATCCAAGCTCTATCCAGACGCAACCCAGTCAGTCTCCCAGATTTTACATGTACGTACATATGTTTAACTTCTTTCGCACCATACCCAGTCAACCGTTCCATTTGGAGGTGCGGGCGGGATTGTACAACAAACTTAACACTAGATCGGACTCGTTTCAGGTGCTTTGGTCGTCGGAAATGATAGCGTAATTGGCGGGGAGGGGAATTTCAAATTAAATGAATGGCTTTGTTGAGCTGAATTTGTGATGGATGTGCTGCGTGTGCCGTGTGTCCCGTGTGCCAGGGTGGAAGCTGCCGCTGGTGGTGAAGCGTTTGGACGCGCGCTACGACTGGCTCACCGGCTCGTGGACGGACCAGCCCCTGAGCCTTGTGGACGGCGGGGACGGGTGCGGCCGCCGTCGTCGGAGCGGGCGGGGGGACGACGACGGGCTGGCGGGCGCCGTGGCGTGGGTGTCCGCGGCCGGCAAGTGCTCCTACTTCACGAAGGTTCGCGGGAGACGTTTTTACGACGCGTCGATTCGTCGACCGCGGACCGATTCTTACGCTCGAGATACGCGCGCACTCTCATTATCGCCGCCGTCGTCGGCGTCGGCAGCAGCAGCTGCTGCTGCGATTATGAATCCGCTGCTCGGCGGAGGCCTCCCCGAGCCGATGAAATGATCCACTCCAGCACCTGCGCGCAATCCAAATTCATCGCTCAGTCTCTGCGTCGGACGTAACCCCAGGATGGGGTTGCGCGTACGAATTGTTTATTATTATATAAATATATATGAAAACATTTGTAGACATTTATGTAAATGCAAATAATAGTGAATTATTTTTTTCACGTTGAGGTTAACTGAGCGAGCGAGACAGAACGTAGGTGACAGTACACACAATACGGAGATTGTTCAGTACAAATGAGACAAAAATAATACAGTCTTAAATAAAGTCCCAGCCCGAACCGTAACGATTCATATATGCACATTTGGGTGGGGGGAGGGGTTGAGGTGAATAGTTTATTTTGTTGGGTTTTGAGAGCAGCTGATGCCCCGCGAGTTGTAGCATGGAAGTGCAGGTGGTGGCTTAGAAGTGTCAATCAGCGGTCTCAGCCCAGCTCTGCAGGCCGGTTGGTGACGTGTAGCTTGCGGGCATGGCTTCCGAATGGACAGTCTCCAGTCTGAGAAGGCCACACTGCTTGTCTTGACTTCCGTGTTTTGACTTGCCTACGCGAGGTCGATTAATGGCATTACAGATAATGTTGAACACGTAGGCTTTCGCGACCAATATTATTAATAATAAAGGTTTTTTTGGGTTAGATTTTAAATTATGTTGATTCACTCTTCAACACACCGGTGGGCTAAAGTAGTGAACTTTTTGTCTTTTGTAAACGTGACACATTTTTTACTGATTGGCTGTGTCGGGTGGTGGAGGGTTACAACACATTTATAAATAACGCGATCTAACCCAAAAAAACCTTTATTGTGAATGACAGATAATGTTTGTGACACACCCATTCACCAACTCGCACCGCTCAACCGGCGTGGTGAAGTATGGTCAAGCAGGGGAGGCCGTCATCCTTGCGATGGATTTGCTGAAGGGCTGGGACATATTGATTTATGTTTTGGTGTATCACATTATAAATTGGGTTCTGATAAGTGACACAGCTGTCGGGATTGAGGCTTGCGGCTCAGGCTTCCTTGCCGAAAACAACGAACCCCTCTCCACGGGGACGTAAGTCATGGGATTAAGTGGATTAGGTCCGGCGCTCGTGTCAGAAATGAAACTCTGGTCGCCGCGCTCAAGCGCACGTGCAGTCGCACCTCGGTGCCAGATTTAAAAATAACGGCTTCGTGCTCAGCCACAGCAAGACTGATCGTGTTTAAAATAATAAAAAATGCATGTAAATTTGACAAGGACAGGTTGATGGCATGTGATCAAGTGCAGACATTTAAAGTTACATTTTTTTAGTTAGTGTCGTAACATCGTAAAACAGTGTCGACGTTTTCGCTCGCCGTGAATGCGTATATTTTTTATCACGCCCCAGTGGCTTGTGAGTCAAGTTTCCGAGTGAAAATTACAGGCTGGGCTTATGCAAGGAGCAAAAAAGGTTCATTCCATCGGTAGTCCCATTGTTGTGTCAGCCAGAGCAGTGCGTGTTGTTGTTGTTGTCCCCTTGTTGTGGGAGGAGCGGTAGTGGTAGCGGTTAGCGCGCTGCCACACGAACCTGGCAACCCGAGTTCTATTCCTACTCACGACCAACACCAGTGACGATTATCCGAACCGGTCCTGGGCCATCCCTAGGTCGACTCGGCCTCAAATGAGTACCTGGTGCGGGCATGGTGTTGACCACCCACCCCCTCGTGTGCTGTCGGCCTACCTAGGCGCTCGCAAACAGCACTTGCCCCAAAAGTATATTAAGGCTATACGGGGTGGGGGGAATCTTTGTCTTTGTGCACACTTGTAGAGCCGGGTGTGTGAGGACTCGCGCTGCTCGTTTGCGCGAATGCAACAAAGACGGTCACTGCATCGCGCGCGTCCAGATGCGCTTCTACGGCCGTCTGGAACACTTCTCTTCTGATATTAGGAAGCCACTGGAGCTATGCACTTTTAAATGTAGATTGAAAACGCATTTCTTTAGAACAACTTTTTGTCCTCAGTTTGTTGTCCTTCCCCCGCACCTCCGATTAGCGCGGTTGGCTACGTACGGTGCGAAAGAAGTTGAACGTACACACACACACGTACAATACGAATTGATAAAAAGCTACCATAATGCCTCTACTTGATTACTGACATCGTTTATAAATCAGCAACCAGTGCTGTTCTGAAGAAGCTGGACTCAATATATAATTCGGCCTCAAGATTTGCATTGAACTGCCCATATAGGACCCACCACTGCGATCTCTACAATGGGTCAAACTTAACATATCTTAATGATAGACGTCTTATGCATCAGATATTATTTATTTACGATGTACTAACAAAAAAATCCGCAGATTACCTCATGGATCTCATTATTGTTTCGGAAAACAAATGTGAGCTAAGATTTGGATTTAAAGCTTTCGTGACTGCAGGGATTCATCTTCTTGGTTCTTTCGGTAAAGTCACGTAGAAGGGAAGTAATACAATAATAAAAATAAAACATAATAAAATAATTCTCACGACGTTTCGGCCACAACGCAAGCAGCCGTCCTCAGCGTCATTCAGACGCTGTCGCCTCGACAGACCTGGTTTTCACCTGAGGACGGCTGCTTGCGTTGTGGCCGAAACGTCGTGAGAATTATTTTATTATGTTTTATTTTTATTATTGTATTACTTCCCTTCTACGTGACTTTACCGAAAGAACCAAGAAGATGAGCTAAGATCTTCGCTCATTTACCAGCTTCGCATTCCTAAATGCCGTACAAATACTGGAGTAAGGGCTTTTGCTATCGATGCCCCCAGGGTCTGGAATGCTTTCGCAAATAAACTCCAGCTTGCATCGTTACTAAACAAGACGATCACTCAAAAATGCTCTAGAGGAGTCGTACAGCCATAGCTGCCACTGCTATCCTGTGGCCTGAAATACAAAATATAGCTATAGATGACCGACGTATGAACTTATTATGTATCTTGATTATAGTGCGCTGCTACTGCTCTTGTTAATCCGGCTGTTATGGATTGACTTATGCAGCTAGCGAAGGATGCTAGGTTTAGTGATGTGTGTTGTGTGTGTCGCTATTGTAAACTTTTAATCACATTTGTTGGGAAAACTGTTACGTTATAGCATTGTTTTAGCAAGGTTTAGAGGGGCTTGGTTTAGCCCGATTTTTTTTATTTAGTATAGATTTATACTTACATTTGTATCTGTATTGTATTATGATTGTTATTGGGATCAAAACATCGAAATGGATTTTTTTGCACTTTCTGTACGCAGCATGGATGGGTTGTGCTTTTTCTGTAGGATTTTATTGTTTACGTATGTAATGTTCAGATTTGTGTACAATTAATTTTAGGGGTTTTCTCGTAATTTTATAGTTTGTTGCGGTTGAACCCAAATCAATAGCCGAATGGCTCACAGGGTAAATCCCAATAAATTAAACTGACAACTGAATACGAGAGTGCGTGTTGCGCTCAGGGTAAGTAGTTTTGTGACACCGTGCTGCCACCGCGGCAAGCGCACAGCGATGATCGTAAGCGTTGGCTCGTGACGGCTGCGTGTGGATGTGTGCACGTCCGCACGACCACAACAAGTTTTCGTTTTAGCCCTAAAGAAATCGATCGTGGTTTCTTTTCCTGCACGAAACGCATTTTTGCAGCCTGAATTCACTTCGCTTCACGTCACGGCGCTTTGTCAGTCCGCTGCCGCTTGAAGGATTTTCAGTGCAGTGTCGGCGGCAATGGCAGTTGTTCGACCATACTTCACCTTGCTGGTAAGGGCGGGTTGACAAGTATTTCATAGTTATATACCAGACTGTATGAACCCATCCCATTAGTCCTAACAGTGAATAAGGCAGTAATATAGTTGTATTATATTAGCTGCAACATTTCACATACACGATATAGACATACCTACAAACATACACACATACTAGGGATGTGCACCTGATTTGTGCAATAATCCAAAGATAATCGGGCCTAGAGGATCTGAAATTTGATCCACAGAATATGTTTTTGCTTTCAGATTGCCCTGAAAGCCAGAAGTGATGCCAATTACGCACTTTTCCTGCTAAAAAAACTATCTTCACGTGACATTGGGTGACATAAATCAAGGTATCTGCCATGAGTACATAATGTAAATGGTCCGAACAAGATCTAAAATTGTCCTTAAAATATATATATTCTTAACATATACAAACTAGTTAATATGTACCGTATAGTAAACCAATGTGGTCTGCACTCCATCAAAGGATGAGATATCGCAACACGACACAAGCTCTCTCGCGAAGCCCTCTCGGCGTGGCTAGCAGACCTCGACATTGGCATTTAGCTCACGAACATTTTGCCACCAGGCGCAAGAATTCAACGTTAATAACCGCGCAAAATTAACTTTGCCTTGTTACATTTTACTTTGCACAGTGAAGGCAGCCACAAGAACAACTGTTCCCTTTTCGTTTAGATCCGATCTCTTCGGCTTTGCACGAGACGGTTGTTGTTGTTGTTGAGAAGGGTAGGCAGTGTGTGTGTGATCTTTAAACGAGGTACAATGAGGACAATTCAAATTGATCGTGGCGATGAGGTCTGAGAAGGCGCGCATCCCACCCTGGTCCGCTTGCGCTCACGTAGCCGCTCACTACAGCCTGAAATGGAACCAATATTTTATTATGTTTTATTTTTATTAGTTTATTATTTCCCTTCTACGTGACTTTATCGAAAGAACCAAGAAGATGAAATGGAACTGTCGGCCCTAATGCTACCACCGCGAGCCACAGAATATTTTTTCTTTGTCAATAGCTTTACCAATCCACTGTTGTATGGAGGAGTCCCCCATGCCATGTTGGTTGGTTATGATGGGGGTTAGTGGGAGG